GGGGGGGGGGTGGGGGAGGGAGAGAGAGAGAGAGAGAGAGAGAGAGAGAGAGAGAGAGAGAGAGTCTTAAGCAGGTTCCACACTCAGCACAGAGCCTGACATGGGGCTTGATCCCACAACCCTGGGATCATGACCTAAGCCAAAATCAGGAGTCAGACTCCCAATCAACTGAGCCACCCAGACTCCCCAGGAGCCACCATTTCTTAGAACACATACTTGCTACTACAGCTAGGGCTGATTCTTGGAATTAAAGTTATTTTACCATAATATTCTTACTCTCTCCAGCTCCTGAGGAAGGAATCTAAAGTAGTATTTTTTTTTTTAATTTATACAAAGCAGGCATAGTTCCCTTCACATAAGAGGTGTCCCTGAAACACTATGCATAAGTAAAAGTTTACCAAACTAAATAATTTTAAATACAAACACTGGGAAAGTAAGAGCTATTAAAAGAATAACAGTTATTGCCTTCCTTCAGGATATCTGTTGTGACTCTTCTGGTAAATATGTTTATTTTAGTAGTTAATCTAAGATATACTGTTCAATGAAGAAAGATAATTACAAGAAGGTAAATAGTATAATTGCACAGAAGTGATGAAGGAAATTTTCTATGTATGTTTATGAATATATAACCCCCAAAAAAGCTCCCTAAAAGATAGAAAACTAAATTCCTGGAAAAGCATGCTAAGATGATGAGGGAGATTTTTTCACTTTCCTAATTACACATTTCTTCATTGTTTGGATTTTCTAAAATACACATGTATTACTGCTATGAGCAATAAAAACCATAAAGATATTCTATGAGAGGGTTGGGAGGGGAACAAAGCAGCTTCGTGTAACATGAACAATTACCCCTAATTATTACGGTTAGAAATTTGCGTTATTATTGTGTTCCAATATGTATCATAGTTTTTCTTAAAACAGGACATACACGTACTCCTCTTTTCTTCCACTCTTCTGTTTCATACTGCTTGCCTTTGAAATATAAATTAACTATGCTCTCTCCATACCTGATGGAGGGATCATCATCCTACGATCCTGCTCCCATGGAGGTGAAAGGGACCCAGTGTCAGAAGGTGCTCTATGGGCATCAGTTAACCTATCACAGCTTGATTCTCCTCTTTCACTGGTATTCTGATGGTCCAGAGGATTCCCTGGGCCTCTTGAGCCTAATTAAAGAAAAAATTACAATTCTGTTTTATCTAAAAAAGTATTATAAGACCTGTCATCAAAAGAAATCCAGGCAGCTTTTAAAAAGTGAAAACAATCAGATTCCAGCAAAGTTTCCCTAAGACACATTAGACTGTAATTCTATCCTACCAAAGTCTAGTACAACGAGGAAAAAATAATTTTGCCATGTGTATAAACAATTGCCTATAAAAGTCATTTATCATTTACATAGAAAAATCAGTGGCTAAATTGTAAATTACAAATACTAACTCTGAAAAATAAGAGTAGGATGTGAACTGCAAAGTAAAGACCTCTGTATCATATGGAATAAAATAATTATAAAATGAGGTTTTTGTTGCTTACACTAATATGCCAATAGTCAAAAAGGGCAGGATTCTTTTAAAACAGTCATCTTAGAGATTATATACCTATTTCAATAATTCTACAACTATTCAAAGTATTTTTAGAACTCTTTTAGAAATGTACTCAGATTAATTTAAGAGCCACTCAAGAAATTGCATCTTAATGCTGAAACAGGATTCTACTTCTGTCCAAAAATTATTTTAACCAGTCTGATTACAAACTTTATACCCACCAGATAAATTTGGCTTTAAAGGGCTTTTAGCAATTTCTGAATATCAAGTTCACCTTCAAAAAGAGCTCACAACTCTGAAGGCAAGTCTAAAACAAGAGTTTCAAAAACAACAGCACTGTTGGAATAAACACTTTGAACAAGGTAACACTCATTTGGGTAAGGAATCTGGCATGCTTACATTTATAAAGAAAGATCATCATTATAAAGTTCCTTCTTAGGACCACAAAAAGGACAGTACCTCAATTAATATCACATATTCAATTAAAATGGAAAAAACAAATACAAAAATTTTTTAAACATGAAATAACAAAATATGTCAGTACTTCATTTATCTGTCACTGAGGGGGGAATGGGGTCTTCTCAAAACTATAGAAACAAAAGCTTTTTTTTTTCCTTTCAAGGAATAGATTTTTAAAAAGTTTTTTAATAGAAATCTTTCTAAAATGTTTCCACATTTCAGTACACCTTTAAGCGAAGAGACTAAAACTAATTCAACCTTTTTTTTTTTTTTTTTGGTAACTCATGCAAATCAGTATAAGAATCTTTTTTAAAAAATACATAATAATCTTTAAAAATTTTTTTATCTACTCTCTTTTGTAGAGTAAGGAAGTAAACTGACTTTTATATTCCAGAAGTCAACCATCTCTTTTCCTCATAGTTGTATATTCCCCAAATCTTTCTTTCTAGCTTGTTCATCCTTCTAATAAATTCATTAGAAGAAAAAGGCTGGGAAAGCAGAAAATTAAATTGGAAAAAAATGTGCAAGCATCACTTAGGCTGAGTTCATCTAGCGTGAAGCACAGATCTTTAAAGAAGATATTCAAAGGCCTTCTCTTGATCATTTCCTTTCAGAAGACCAAAGTACAGGCCAACAGACTACCAGGTAAAAAAACACAAATGTAAAAATGTTAAAAGGTTAAAATTTTCATTCAGACCAAAAGTTATATGATATTTACTCTAGAAAGAAATTATTTTCCTTATGTTCCATCTTATTCAAACATATATCTCACCCAAACTTTCAAATTTAAAAAGATATTAAAGGAAGGAAAAGAACACTATTTACCCTTCTTTGGTGGGTCATAGTGATTTTTACTTCAAAGCAACCCTTTTAAGATCTACTAATAACTTACCTAAAACTTCTGTAGCTTTTCTAACAAACAGTAAAACACGCTTGCAAATAATCTAAACACATCATTTCTCGAAAGTAATAAAAAGGAAAGGAAAGGAATTTAAATAGGAGAGGAGAAATAAAAGGTAATTCTTTTACTTATTCCCAAAATCCAATTGACTACAAGCAATCCTTGACTTATGTCATTTAACTTCCATTGATTCATATTTGCAATTTAGCCAATTTCACCCTTATTTCTAGGGAACTGTTTTTCAGACTGCTGGCTACATGCAACCCATCATGGTGCATGAAATTAACTTAGTCTTAATGAGCAACTTTTTAAAATGAAATGGAATGATATGGAATAGAAATGAACAGAAAACATGAGAAAGTGCCAAAAATAGTAAGGGTGGTACTACTTCATGTAAATGGCTTCTATTACATTTATATTAGCATGTAATATGATATAAAATATATTTCTTACTACAGGTCAAGGTAAAAAACCAGGGGGGAAACGGATTTGAGGGCATTTATAGCACAGATGTGAATTTCAAAATTAGATCCCTTCCTCAAGTGCTTAAGGGAAAGGTCTCCCAGGGCTCCAAGTGTCAGTCTGCAAATCACTCTTTCCCTAGGAGTTTTCAGTTCAAAGCCAATACAAGCAAAGGTTCTCTTCGAAATATCCCCAGGCTGTGGGTCCAATCAGCAGTGGGACTGGGAAGTGGGAGGGACTGATGTGAGTGTACCAAACTGAGGATAAGATGTAAACAGGAAATGGGCAAAGGGAGAATATCCCATTACCCACAGAAATTTTATCTTCTCATTCTTTGAAAGCAATCCCAAAGAGCAAGCTCAAAAATATTTAAAATAATGGCAGTTTCAACATAGCAGTACAGCATCCTTAAGAGACTAATTTGGTAAGTAGTATCCATTTGAGTATATGAGCTGTGAGAAGTTGGGTTTAGTTTGGTGTTTCTACTTAGTCTCATTACTTTCTGTTCCTACCTCAGATTTATTATGCTAGATTCACAAATAAAAAGGGGGGAATGGATACACAATCCTGATAAAGAATGCTATTAGCTCTTATACAACACAGATTTGGGGCTAAAAACCTAAGACTTTTGACTTAGGAATGAACAGTGCTATTTACCTTTTAATTTTGTCACAATTCAAGGGAAAATTTTAAAGCAACTTGACAAAGTGTGGTGAGAAATCAAAAGAGCAAAATTCCAGGTACACAGGTAACACCAGGATGAGTGCTGATGAAGTAAATGGAGAAACACCAAGAGCTAATGCATTGGCTTGAAGTTGCTGCTAAAATTTGCAAAAGACCATTCAGGGTAACAAAGCAATCTTGGGTCAGTTTCTCAAAGTATTAAAAATCATTTCTGTCTCCCTTAAGGCTTCCATCAATACTCTGCCTACAAGATAGCACTTCTGAATTACTCCACTCGAAAAAGAAGGTTCTTTCTTTCACTTTTTGATCTTCTAAAATAAGAAGATCATGATAATGAAGTAAAAAAAGATTTTAGAAATTCTACATTCTAATAATGTTTTGTTAAAGTAGAATTTTATGCTAGGTTATATCATTATCATATCTTATGTATTCTTTATAAAGTGTTATATTATGTAGTATAATATATAGTTTTTAGGAAGTCAAATGATCTAAAAAGATTAAGTGCTTGACCAAAAAGTAATCTATTATAACCCTGTTTCTAAGAGAAATATATATATTAAAATTACATGTCATAGAACTCCTTGTCCAAACAAAAATAACCCACAATAAGTGCAAGGAATGCCTGTATTTTTCAAACATTTATTTTAAAGATCATTTTAAAAATAAGTTGAGATGAAAATATAAAGTAAGGAAGAAATCTAGAGTAATAAAGATGTTTAAACAATATACCTCTTCCTCCTCCCCCTGGAAGCAAAGGTGAGAGTCTGAGTGGACCCTCCAACAAAGTTGGAGGGGAGAGAAAAGCTCTCGTTTCAGATGAAGGTCGACCCAATGGTGAGGGACCATATGGGGAATGCTCTGGAATAATTAAAACAGCATATTTAAATTCATAGTTTCAGTTAGCTACACTATAGATTAGAATCCCATTCAACAATTTCCATCAGGTCACCCTATTGTCAATTTAAGTTTAATCCACATCCTAAACACTTAGCATGCCCTCGGTTTTATTAATACGGGATAGAATTAAATATGGAACCCTGTGATTTAAAGTCTGTCTACAAATGGACACTGTAGTCAATACAAACATTATCCTCTTGTTAACTAATACACTTAAGTAACCATATAATATTAAGCAATGGATACTGGTGATATTTTAGAACTATAAGAGGATTTGGGGGCCATGAAGTTTGCTTGGTTTTGCTTTTAATGGCAGTATGCTTCCAGACATTTCAGCTGGTGAAAGTTGTACTATGGAAGGACTCAGTTTAAATAAATTAGGGCCAGATAGGCTGGGCCATGTTGGGTCATGAATTATTTGAGTAAAGCTCAGATTTTGAAAATAGAAAGGCAAAATCCTGGGAAGCAGCAGAAAAAAACTTTTAATTCATTACTACTGAAAATTCAGTTTACATATACTTATCAAATAAATCACTTTCTAAACCATATAACCAAGAGCCCTATCATTTTACAAACTTCACCACTCCCAAGTAATGATTATGCTTCAAAAGATCAAAAATCAACATCAAAAAGCAAACTTAAATGCCACCAAGATAATACTTTTTAAACATGTTAAATTTTATTATGTAGCTTATATAATGGTCAAATGCAGTTACATCAAAAGATCAAAGCATTATTTAATCTTTCCAAGACTTCTACATTGGGTTCTGTCAAGAATTACTTCTGTATAACTGCCCCCCAACTCCAGACTTCATTACTATTTGAAATTAATAATAATTTGCTATTTTTTAATGTAAAAACAAACTCATTTTAATGAACTTAGACTCTCAAAAGTGATTTTTATAACTTTTAAATGGTCAATAAAAAGCCTATGTAAAGTTAGGTTTATTTCTACTGCCTTAGATGCTTAATTCCAATTCAACTGAAAATTTTTCTGAAAATTTTAAACTATTTGGAACAGTATGAGATCATTAAAGATGCTAACTCATTAATGAATAGATAAAAGTATTAAATATACCATCCAAAGACCTGGTCCTCTCTTGGAGGTAATTAAAGCAATCAAAGCTCAGATTATTAATGTCTTCTCACCTTCTTAATCAATACTTTTAAATTATTAAAAACTGTTTAAATTCTTATTTTTATAATTCAAGCAAATCCCAATGAGTAGTAGATATGTAAACAGCCACAATGTTATTCCATTTAAGCACTCCTTTCTCATTCTCCCAATAAATAATTATTGAGTATGTTACTATGTGCCATTCACTTCGCTTTTCAGAGAGATCAATGTGCTAAATATACATAATCTTACAAAAGCTCACTAAGAAATAAAGGCAGCAATTATTTACATTATTGCTAGAGTAACAAAACTCAGGAAACTGGGAGATTCTGATAGAACTCAGATTAGAATCCTGGCTCCAAAATCTAAAATATATATAAATAATAGTATTAATTTACACTAATATAAAAGATATGTGCAATATATATATACATATATTAAAATACATATATTATGCATTTTAAATGAGGGTTAAAAAAAAAAAGACTACCTCTGCCAAATGCTGTATTTGGAACATCAAGTGCATAAGGATCTTTCTCTAAAAGTTCAAACTTAAACTCTGTTTCAGTTAATCTGCAAATAAAGGACAAACAGCTCTAAGTACTCATCCAAGAAAAGCACCCACATTTCAAGAAAAATGCCTCTTCCAAGTACAAGGAACTCTTTACTATCTCAATATCTTCATAGAAGAAACAAATCTTTTAAAATTATTCTGACCAGTAATATATGGAATTGTTGAATCACTGTATTATACACTTGAAATGTAACACTGTGTATTAACTACACTGGAATTAAAATTAAGAAAGAAAACAAAATAAACAAACAGTCTGACCGAAACACCTTTCTATAACCCCAGTACTTATTTTGAGGTAACAGGTTTCTTTTTGCCTAGTGATAGTGATGTTTTGCTGAGGTTGAAATCACTGTTTTGTTCTGTTTTCAAAACTAGACTTCAGTGAATAATATTACACAGAACCCAAATTTTAGAAATAGCAGGACTTTCCAAGGTCAATCAGTTCTAATGTATCATTTTACAAGTAAGGAAACTGAGCTAAAAGTTTACTTGATTTATTCAAAATTAAAGTGCCAGGATTAAAACACAGGGCTCCTAGCTCTGCATCATGTCTGCTTTCCATTGTAATGTTACCCACAAGATTCCAATCACAACATAAAATAGGAATCCAGTGAACTAATCCTACTATTTTATTCCTAAACCTTTTATCTTAAAATTGTGACATTTTAAAAGAAATCTTATTTCTAGTTCTTGACCATCAGATCTGAAATAAAACAGCTAATCATGTAGTTTTAATTTCAAAGTAGAAAAGACCAGCAAAAAGACTACACTATCATCGGTCAATCTTAATAGTTCATTCTGGCAAGAAATTATAATACCTGGGAAGAGATGTCTGCTCCTAGAAAAGCATTTATTCTTTCCTTTGATTATGTACTGTAAACTTTCATTCTCTCTTTCATCTTATTATTGTATGGCAATGTCACCCAATACAATAAAATCAGAGAATGAGAGAGATAATAAAAATGTATTCTACCCATATCTACTAAATGATGCCAGTATTCTGAGAATTACTACATCAGAGATCTGTCTTTTCTCTTTCCATCCCTTGTAACTGTCTTCTTCCTACTCTAGTTTAAAAAAAAAATTGGGGAGGGCAGGGTGCGGTGCCTGGGTGGCTCAGTTGGTTAAGTGGGCAACTCTTGATTTCAGCTGAGGTCATGATCTCATAGTTCATGAGATCGAGCACCACGCTGGGCTCTGCACAGCTGCTTGGGATTTCCTCTCTCTCTTTCTCTCTCTCTCTCTCTATTTGTCCATGCTCTCTCTCAAATAGAAATTTTTTTTAAATGTTTTTTATTTATTTCTAGGAGAGAGAGAGAGACAGCATGAGCAGGGGAGGGTCAGAGAGAGAGGGAGTCACAGACTGAAACAGGCTCCAGGCTCTGAGCTGGCAGTCAGCACAGAGCCCGATGCGGGGCTCGAACCCACGAACCGCGAGATCATGACCTAAGCGAAAGTCGGAAAGTCGGACGCTTAACCGACTAAGCCACCCAGGCGCCCCCAAATAGACATTTTTTAAAAAATGTTTTTAAGTTATGCTTTTTTTGTTGTTAATTTTTTTAATGCTTTTATTTATTTATTTATTTATTTCTAGGAGAGAGAGAGACAGCGCGAGCAGGGGAGGATCAGAGAGAGAGGGAGACACAGAACCTGAAAAAGGCTCCAGGCTCTGAGCTGGCAGTCAGCACAGAGCCCAACGCGGGGCTCGAACCCACGAACCGCGAGATCATGACCTAAGCGAAAAGTCGGACGCTTAACCGACTAAGCCACCCAGGCGCCCCTAAGTTATGTTTTTTTTACAGAAAAACATATAAACAATCTACTTTTGTTAAAGTAACCTCTCTAAGACAAATGTTTCAAACAAAAAATCTAGCACCTTGCAATAAAATAAATATTTTACCAAAAGATATGCTGAATCACGATTTTATTTATCCCTATAAAAAAATTATATAATAAAATACAATTAAAAGTAAAGTAATAACTAAAGCTTAAAGTGTTCCCAAGATACTTACTTTTGTCTATTAAGAGCATTTTCTTTCCTTAAATCATTGAGATTTCTTTCAGCAGTCCGAGCTGCCAACTTAAAGCAAACAATACATTTTTATTTTTTTAAATACATTTTAAAACAATTCTTATACGAAAGTAAAACAGA